CCGTTCCCATTGCCTAGAATGAAACTCCCTCCTTGGTTATAAACTTTATCCCCTCCTGCTTCTCTCCCCCCTTCATCGTGCTCATCCATGCCCTCTATAAGACCCCTCCAATTTTTAACCCATCCCCCTCTCTCGAAAGTTTCCAACCCCAACCCTCATAGTCCTAGGGGGAGCTCTTGGCAATACATGTTTTCTTCCTCATCGCCCTCTCGTTTGATCTCCTTCCCTTTCAATCTGGCCAAGGATTCATTTATTAATCCTTGGTTAAGGTTTGCAATTGAGCCATCGGCGGGATCTTGGATTGTATCTCCAGGAGCCTCTCCATCATTGCATATATGTGGAAGAAAACCTATCCTCCATGGTGGCAAACATTTTTCTCCATTTCTGATTTGATTTGCCCTACTTCTCCTTCCAACACATCCACTTTCTTTTTTCTATTCCTCCAAGATCTCACTCTGATACTAATTTGAAAAGATTCAGAACCAAAAACAGCATACAAACAGTGAATAAGTTGTAATAGAGAGATGAGGGAACTCAAATGAGGGTTGATTTTACTAATACCAATGAAAGTAAATAAGAAACAATTTTGATCTCCTGTTTGAGAGATAGAATCTCTCTCCACAAACCCTAGATGCCGCTAGAAACATCAAGATAAAAGAGAACTCTAGCCAAATAAAAAATAAAACCAAACATTAGACAACTAGCCCTCATAAATACTCTTCAAGATCCCATTTCAAATTTTTCCCCCAAAAACCCTCTCGATTCTCCTCCTCTTGCACGTGATTAGCGGTTGTGTGGATCCCACCCGAGTGTCGAAATCGTGCTCAACCTCTTCTAGGTATCATGCCACTCTATGATGCGTCGGCTAGCTTTGTCTAGCAGCCGGCTAGATTGGATATGTTTGGTCGGTTCAAATAGGTCCAACTTGGACCGGCTCATCATCTACAGCGAGACCTCTCCCTCTCCCGTCGGCTCTCCCTTTATCCAGAGTAGGCACGGGCGTATCACACGTTCTCCTGATTTTCATTAGTTCAAAACCGGCTCAAATTAGCTCCGAGAGCAAGGATTTCCCTTAACAACCACCCTTGACACACATCCTCCTTAGATTTAGCCACTTGATCCCATCTTTACCGCATCACACCTCAAAATTCATTTGCCTTAGCTCAACATGGCAAGTGCTAGTCAAGAAAGTGCTGAGATGCTGCTTGAAAGATTTAGGGAATTTATATTTTAAGAAATTATTATTAAAATTCATTTAAAGAGCAGAAAAACGTTTGAAATATGCAATGATCAATCATACAGATGATTCCCAATCAGCACAAGATCTTATGCATGAAAGCCAATTGTCATACAATTAGTTATCTTATTTACATCATATTTTTAAACCCTAATTTAGCATAAACTTTAATCTCCTTTTATGAATCTATTAATCACTTGCATCTCATAAATATGACTAATAAATTATAGCTAAAAAAATTTAAGTTAATAAGGAAGAATGAAATCTTATTGGCCAATACAAACATATTTGATTTTATCTTTCTGAAACCATTTAAGATAAAAAAAAGGAACTAATGACTTGTATTAATTTTAAGGTCATTTTAGTGTTCTCAATCTAGATCAAATTGTATGCAGAGATTGCTGCCAAATATGCATGCAAAGTTCTCCAATTGCAACTATTTCTACTCAATCCAATTTATTGCTTCCCAAATGCATTGTCGAACTTATGAGTATGCTCGATGGTGCATTTCACCATTCCCGCATGCAGATTGCTGCACCCAATCACACCTCTTGCATGTAACTGCATATTGTTACTCTTTTGTTGCAACCATTGCTTATTGCTAAATAGACACTCACTAAAGGACAATGGATTGAAACTAGCAATCATCAATAAAATTGATCACTTTTATGCAAGCTTGTACTATTTTTAAAAAATCATCTCTATGATAATTATATTGGCCATCATTGGCCTTTCAGATTTTACTTACACACATAACAAAAAAAATGATTCATATTATCATAACAAAATTTGTGGATCGTATTATTATGACGATAACTAAGACAAATATTAATTATTATCATTCAAACTCACATAAATCATCTTCTTATATTTCTGATGATAAAGATTCATTTTCTCCTTGTAATCAAATGTTCCAAAAGTTACTCTCTACAAAATATTATTGTGATAACGTCACCTATACATTTTCAAATAATGTTTTTTTCTTCTCTTTCTTTTTTTTCCTCCGATCAAATGCAATCCACTAGACACCCCATACATTTTTAAATAAGGTTTTTTTCTTTTCCTTTTTTTTTCTCCTCTGATCTAACTTTTGGTCGCACAAAATTCATTTTTTTTCTATTTCAAAATATGCTAAGATTATATGATCCTTCTTTCTATGAGGACCTCCTCTCAATGCTGTTTGATAATTTTTATGATGGCACATATCCTTCTCATGTTAAATTAAATCTTAGGAATATTCATGAGTTACCAAAACTTAAGTGTGTCTATTAATTAACTGAGTTTGATAAGCATGTTCGTCACAAAATAGCGTTTCCTACAGATTATGTTGATGTATCAACGCTTGTAGTTGATCTACTCCAACTTTTATAATGATTCTTGCTCCAGGCCGCTTGCCACTATATCAAGAGGTTTTCTATTTTAGATGATTATAGGTTACTTCAAACACGTCTACTAGAGAGTAAGTTTGTGCTATCATTACCATCATGATCACTAACTACATTGATGGTTCACATCGCAAATATCTCACATGTGTCTGAAGTCTGAAGCCCAAAGCACCTAAGTTTCCAAATCCTTAGCAGCTTTTTGGACTACTTCCACTTATTGTTCTTTGTACTAAATGGACATTTCTTCCATTAAATGATCCAATGATGCTACGTTATTACGTACATCGACTCCAGCAAACTCTTTAGAAGAAGAATTCTACATAAAGCAGGTGAATTTATTTAGTATAATTCAGCGAATTTAGCCCAAAAAAGACTCAATTTTCATGTTCCAACCAAAAACTTGAATTGGACCTCAAAAGAACTAAACCGCCCAAATTTTTAGAGTTATTTAAAAAATATTTATAATTTTACCAAATTTTGCATCTTTTATGAAATTTAATTTATTTAAAGTTGGGTTGAAATATCCTTTCAAGTATTGTTAAAATTTAACTATGACATATACTTATGTTTGAATTTAAATTATCTCACATGTTCATTATGATTTTATTTTGGGGGCATTTACATAAATACCACCCAATTCTTATGTATCACACATCTCACACCTAAATTTTGTTTTTTACATGTATACCACCACCCAATTCTTTCACATCACATCAAAAAAATCACTTTTTAACATTTAAAAAGTGAAATATACTTTTTCTTGCATAGGTAAGATGCTAAATATGTAAATTTTTTAAGTGTAGATGTTAGATATGTAAATACATAAGAATTCAGTGGTATGTACGTAAACCTTCCTTTGTTTTACATATATGACACTCAAAACTTTAGATTTTATATCTCACACTTAAAACTTCAAATTTTATGTCTATAGCAGTCGTTAATGGTGTTGGCCCATCTTCAACCAGCCCTAGCTAATCTTCACCGCCGGCGACTGATTTTGGGGCAAGAAAGGAGAAATATACCCACATGCACATAAACAGAGCTGAAACTTATCCAGATTTATCCCAATATTCACTTAAAATTTCAGATGAAGATTCATCCAAGTATGCTCTTTTTAACCTAACCTCTTCGTTGTGATTGAGACAAAGTAGACAGCATAGAAATAGATGCAAAGGAAGCTTGAATTCAAAAATTCCTTCAAACACGATGAGGAGCACCAACCAAAGCCTTCCATCTTCGAAGCTGCCGACGTCCCCATCATATACCTCTACCCACTCTTCCCATGCGAAGGCGATGTGCTTTTTTGCTTGGTTACCAATATGAGATCCAACTGTAAGGATTGGGGGCTTTTCGGGAAGAACAATCATGGCATCATTGGCTAGCTTTTAGAGAGGATTCAATTGGTGGTGAGGGACTTCTTAGCTCTATCTCTAGAGGAGAAGCAGCAAGCGAGCGACCAATAACAGGTGGAATGATGAGGCTAAGAATTTTAACAGAAGGGTGTTGTTTTTGTTTTAAATTAAATATTTTTGGTGATATAGGTGTAAAATTTGAAGTCTAGGTATGAGATGTCTAAAATCTAAAGTATTGAGTCCTATGCATGTAAATTCCCTTTTTATAAATAAGGATTAATGGTTTCAATTCAACATTGATGATGAATGATTAAGTGAAGCCAAGTTATTTGTCAGATAGTTGAGTATTATTTCTTTAAATCTAAATTATGCATGCAGATCACATGAAGCTAATTGTAAGAAGTTCTCTATCTCTTTTCTGTGTACTAATAACAATCAGACATAATTGCATAAATTAGTTCAAAACCATTTCTTTCTTGCCAAGTTGAAATGGAGGGGGGGGGGTGGTGTAGGGCAACAATTCGCAAACACATCTGTAAAAAAGAGAAAAGAGAGAAGTCAACAGTAGCAGAATTCTTTTCACATTAGTAGAAGGATGGAACTATGGAGATTCATAAGAATGTGCAGGTCATTTGTTCCAATTGAATCCAAAAAGTGTCTAAATATAAAAGTGTTGAATTCCATTTCTAAAGCAAGTTAGAAATTTATATGACTAAAATGGGAGACAATTTTAAGGAGGTATACCTCACCAAATGCACCTTTGCCTATCATTATCAGCAAATCAAAATCATCAACTCCCATTTTATGCCTTTGAAGTCGCATGTACTCCGTCTCCTTTCTCTCCAAGTCTTTGAGGACGCTATTTTGCTCCTCTTCGGAAATATCAGCATTAGCCAAACTCCTCTCCAGAATGACTCGTCTGTAGGAAGAAAGAATATAATTTGTTAATACCATATTAGAGTTACTTAATTTATTAAAGAATATACGTTGTTAATGCCAAATTCCTGTCCTCTCTCTCTCTCTCTCTTCCTTCGATTAAGGCTTTAATACAAGGTAAACAAATTTGGATACTTTACAACTAAAGATCTCTTTAGTTAAATAAATTGGCAATCAATTATACAATCGAATAAATAAAATAATAATAAAATAAAAAAAATCATACTTTTTTACCTTTCTTTTATCACATGAATTTATGTATTAATGAGAATGATAATACACATGAATAAGGAAAGGCTTATATTAAGAAACCAAGTTGGATTGAATCGTTAATGTTGCTTAAATAAAATGTAAAATATTTAGTGGATAGGGCTATCAAGACGGTTCGTTGTTCGCAAACAATACGTGTTTGGCTCGTTAAGAAGCTCGTGTTTCATTCGTTCACTAAACAAATGAGCCGAACACGAATACAGATTTGTTCGTTCAAGCTCGGCTCGTTTATATATATATATATATATATATATATAATTGATGAGTAATATTTTAAATTAATTTAATTGTCTACAATGCTACAAAGATTTATAATCAATTAAAATTATTAATTAAAAAATAGAATAAAAATATATTTAATTATATTTAAATGATATTTTAATATAAATAAAAAGAATTAAATCTCGATCCTACCCTTGACATCCTACGACTGCTTGACTAGGGTTGTCAAAATGACTCTTTGTTCGTGAACAGCTCGTGTTCTGCTCGCTAAGCAAACCTAAGCAAACAAGTAACACAAATAAATATTTTGTGTTTAAAATATAAACAAGTTGAACACAAATAGTGATACTTTTTAACAAGTCGAACACGAGTTAAGTCCAGGCTCACTGGTGTTCGGCTCATTTACACGCCTATTGGTGGATTCCTCTAATTAGTCTACTTTAGCGAACAAGCCTAAGAATTATATTTACATCATGTTCATGAGCTTACTAATATTAATATATAAATCATTCATTTTCACGGGAAAATATTTGTGTAAGTAAGACATACGCAGCGCTGCGTACGTTGGAGGTTATTAAAAGGGTACAGGCGGGTCATATTCCCATTATACCCTCATGTAAACTCCTTGTAACTTACCTGTAACTACCGGAACTACAGAAGCGGGAACTTATTTGTAGGTTACAGATAAGTTACAGGGAGGTTACAGGAAGGTTAAATGGGGTATAACACGGATGTAACTCCCTTATACCCTGTGAATAACCTCCCGACGTACGCAGCTCTGCGTACGTTTTACATACGCAAATATTTCTCCATTTTCACGTTCGTTGTTTTTCATTCATCGCCCTCTTTACTCATGCTTCGGCTTGGCCGTCATTCTTGTTATATTATGACCAATATGCATATAAATGCATGCAATCAATCTACATCAACCTCCTAATGTTTTACCTTCGATCTACTAAAGACAGTAAAAGCAAGCAACAATAAAATTCTAATGCATACCTTTCTCTGCGCTCCCTCATGCTCTTCATCTGCTCCTTATAATGAGTTTCAATGTACTGTTTCGCAGCCGCAACCCTCTGTTTGGTAGCATTTGATGGAGGTTCCTCATTAATGGTAGGTTTATCCACATCCTTTCCAACATCTCTCCGTTTGTGGCTGGACTTTGTCTTGTCTTTAGTATGAAACTTATTAAACCAACTCATGGCAGAATCCACCCTCACCACCCCACAAAGATAAATACCAAATGGATTTTTATATAACAACTTTTGCCGCAAAACAAAACCCTAACGGCGTACGAAAATCTCAATGAACCATTAAAAGCCCTTTTTTCTTCACAAATTCATGAAATCGATGAGTCCACTTCCTCAATCGAAAAAAAAATCATTTCCTTTTGTACCAAAATCTTAATTTTCTTCTGGAAATCGTGAAGGCAGCAGGAAAAGAAGAGAGGCGTGGAAGAAACTGAAAGAAGGGGATATAGGCAGTGAAGAATAGAGGGGAGCCAGATAGATCGGAGCTGGGTAGTTCAAAATACCGCTGGAATCAAAATGATGCCAATTGCGAAATATAAAAATGGGGTAAAAGGACCTATCGCCAACCGCCATTTTCGCGCCTATGCCTGTTCGAGCCTCTCTCCCAAATCAACGAAGACAACGGAAACTTTCTCTCTCTTCGCCTCCTCTCACTCACTTCCCGCGGTAGAGGGGGAAGTTTACATATATATCACATTTTTTTTATGTATTTGCAAATCTAATTTAGAGATATTTACAAAAGTACCAACATTTCTTATATGTTTTTATATATTTAACAACATAATTTTAAAATTTATTTATGTAGTATTTTATTTCTCAATCATATTAAAAATTTAATGTTAGTAACATTAAAATTAATGAAGAGC